CATTAGTCCGACTGGTATTATTGGGCCATATTTTTTCGAAGAGACTGACCATACAGTCACCGATAATTCTATTCGCTACGTTGACAAAATTTTATGGTTCCAGAACTAAGCAGAAAAGGGATAAACCCAAGGAATGCGAGGCTTCAGCAAGCCCATGCTTCAATGAATATTCTCCGTAACCTGTTCTCAGGTCAACTCATTTCACGTTTCGGAGATTTGCCGTGGCCTCCAAGGTCTCCAGACCTGTCACTTTGTGATTTTTTTCTATGGGGGTATTTAAAGAGTCGTGTGTATGCTAGCAGGCTTTGTAATTTGATTGAGTTGAAGAACGCAATTCTCCAGGAAATCCTGACTATTGATCGAGCTATGTTAGAGCGTGTTATGGAGGATTTCATAAAGAGGATTGAAAACTGCATCCAACGTGTTGGTTACCATCTTGATCACATTATTTTCCATACTTAATTAGATTGTAATTGTGTATCATTTAGTTCAAAATCGTCATATTGCCAGTTGTCACCCTTATACGAAAAAAAAAAAAAATAAAAAAAGCAGATCATAGCAGATGGGAGAGATATAATATATTTTATAAAAATAGGTATGGGTAAAGACGAACAGTCCATCCATCAGCAGCGAATGAAAACTACCCTCCCACATGAAAAATAATATCAATTATTTGTGGGAAATGAATAGGGGCATGCGAAGACATGACCTAAAAGGAAGGTGTAGATGGTCTACCACTGATTATGATGCATTTTTGGATCAATAAGACGTCATAACCTTCTACTTAATTGTGACATTTTACCATTTTCTGTACTGTACTATTTTCCTGTGACATTTTAAAGTAATTACTATGTATTTAAATTAAAATAAGCTACAATTAAAGGTAAAAGTAAGTTATTAACTTTTCAATTTCCACTTCGGAAATCGTTCTCAAAATGTTTGTATTTTGAGAACGATTTCCGAAGTGGAAATTAAAACGTCAATAAACTTACTTTTACCTTTAATTAATTGTGGCATTGTCCCATTTAAATAGTAATTAAGCAATGATCGATTGTAATGAAAATTACATTTTATATTTGTTTTTGACATTTCGATTTCCACTTCAGAAATCGTTTTCAAAAAAGAAAAAATTTTAAAAATTATAAAATAAGGAGGTTATACATCTGCTGTAGTTCATTTGTTGGGGCTGTTTGGACCAAATTTGACAGGACCATAATAAAATGTTTTAAAGAGAAAATTTCTGTGACAGGGATTTAAAGAGCAAGAATGAAAGAACTTGGACACCTGGAGCGAATACCCTACGACATATAGCACGAAAATATCTGAAAGTACAGTAAGGAAAACTTGGTGGCAGTAAAAGGAATATTTGGTGGCATCTGTGAAAATGGTGTTTGGAGGAGGAAATACAACTACGAGGTATACCACAGATATAAACAAATTTTTGGTGGTAAAGAGGTAGTATCTCTTATAAGAATAGGAAGACTAAGATGGGCAGGACATCTAGCAAGATCACAGCAGAACAACCCTCCTAGAAGAATCCTTATGTCACAACCCGTGGGAAGTAGAAAAAAGGGTAGGCCAAAACTCAGATGGAAGGATGGTGTAGATGAGGATGGTAGAAAGATAGGCGCAGCAAACTGGCAACGGTTGGCAATGGATAGGACTGCCTGGCGTAATAGACTTGGGAAGGTCGAGGCTCTTTCATAGGGCTGTAGCACCATTGATGATGATGACAGTAAGGAAAACATCTACGACCAAGACCAAGATTAACGTAAGAGTATGGTGACACATATTTGCCAATACGTCGAATACGGTTTGACAACCAGCATAAAAAATTAAATACTGCATTAGAAATAGTTTATTTTTCATATTATTGTCGCCATATCTTCATATTTTTAACGGGATCAGCTCACTAGGTCATTTTCGTACAATAATTTCTGAATTTTGTAATCTCAAAAATTATCTGAGCTACCTTATCAGCATCAAACAAATGTACCAAATGTTTTAAATAATAATTAAAAATAGGAAGCAACTTTTATCTAAAAAAGCAAAAGCTTTGATTCTACATAGTTGTGACAATTAAAGGAAGACAGTAAGGTTTGATATTCTAGCAGAGAAAAATTGGTTTATTCATTAGTACTCACACATTAAACGAATCTATTATTAAAATATTTACGTCCCTCTGTGGAAACCTTCAATGATTATATTAGGAGGCGTGTTTTTTAGTGTCGTTTTGAAATTCCACCGACACAGCTTTTCGGTTGGTGTACCTCACATGGGCACTGTGTTTCTACATATTTTGGCAAGCCTCAAATGCCATTACGGCAGCAATAGATTATGCATTTGATTTTGCGTATTTAAAATACCTCCACCAATTGTGGCCAATTGGCGGTGTTGTGTCAAAGGCATTATTGGTAATGAAATTGTACGAAAATGAAAGAGAACTTTAAAAAATTGCGGAAAGAATTCTCATGAAGAGGAACGAAGTGGACGAACCTCATTGATTTCTTACGATTAGGTCAGCTCTTGTCATTTGTCTCAGAAAAATTTAATCATTCTCCATACAGACTCGATCTAGCAGTGATTATCACGTGTTCCTTCATTAGAAGAAGCATCTCATGAGGTCTGCGTCCCAAACTTGTGTGCTGACGGAATACAAAAGCTTGTTCTTCAGTATGATAAGAGATTTAATATTTGTGGTAAAATCAATAGAACAGTAGACGTAAATGTCAAATTGTTACAAAAAGTTTTCTTGTTATTTCTTCGTTCAAAACGACACCCATTTAAAAAAACACGTCCCGTATGTTGTTTTAAGATAATAAAAAATCAATAAAAATATAATCACTTTAAACAGAGATTAGATCTATGGATAATTCATGTACGAATCAAATAATTTGATAAGTTGGTCAATAAAATTAGAAAAGAACAGAAAACGTTGAAAAAATATTAAATATACATTTCGCGCGTAGGCGCGAAATTTCAGGCCAAGGCTATTTAAATGCATTAATTTTTTTCGAATTCTGAAAAAACTAATAAATATTTTTGAAAAATTTAAACGCAGAATGAAAGGTTATGTTATTACCGAGGGCTGAAAGTCCCTGAAAACTTCTATAATGTTTATTTAAGTAAGTTACAGGGGTGAAAAGGAAGAGAAAATTATTTGTAATTTTTAATTTCAAATATCTCATTTAAAAGAAACTTTTTGTTTATTACAAGGGACTTTCGGCCCTCGGTAATAATGCAATCTTTCATTCTGCGTTTAAATTTTTCAAAAATATTTATTAGTTTTCGCAGGATTCGAAAAAAAATTAATGCATTTAAAAAGCATTGGTCAGAAATTTTGCGCCTACGCTCTTAAGAAGAAAATTGATTGAAAATGTATACAATGAAACGAAACTTATAACCAATACCAATCTCAATGTGTATAGAGATATACATTTGTAGATTCAAATGACTTCAAGATAATTCCAAGGAAGACATTGTTGTGCATAAAAATATTTATGCACCTCGTATTAAGTATGGCTACATTTCTGAAAATTAATAATTACATGAATTTTAATCAAATAAAAGGCAGATATCGAGCAGTTCTTATTGAATGTTACCCAAGTACTTTCGCTCCTAGAGCATCTTCAGGGGCATTTTGTCAAAATTGGGCTATCCAACAATATAAATGGAGAATGTCATAAACATTAAATTATGATACATTAACAGAACACAACAAGGACAAACAGTTTTAAAATTATTAAAAATCGACGAAGCTACATATTGAATGACATCAGGAGAGAAAATGATGATTTCACTCTGATGAGTCATCATCACAATGATGATAATCTCTCTCCTAATGCCACCCAATATGTAGCTTCGTCGATTTTTAATATTTTTTAAACTGTTTGTTCTTGTGTCGTGTTATTATTTAATGTTTATGACGTTCTTCATATATTGTTGGATAGCCTAATTTTGACAAAATGCCCCTGAAGATTCTCTAGGAGCGAAAGTACTTGGGCAAGATATAATAAAAATTGGGCTTGATATCTGCCTTTTATTAGGTTAAAATTCATTTATTCGAGCATTCAATCTTATATCACTTTAATAATTAAATGTTCGACCATTTCAACAATTAAAAACATCTAATTTGCACTGTGTCCTGACGAATAGACATATAAAAACATCGTTTAAATACATACAAAAAGTAACAGTACACTTATTTTCGTTTGACTCACTTTACATGCCTATTTGGGGAGCTACCCTAAAAAACTCACTAAAACCGCTTAAAAATTCCTTCCGATATCAATACTAAAAGTTCACTCAAGTCTTTCACAATCAACTACCATCACATCACAGAGCAATAATTGCAAATTCAAAAGACTAGGAGTCTTTTCTTGTCTATGTTATGTTACAAGTTTGTTGACTATAACTGTCAGTCCGAACTGGAAAACTTTTCTAGGCCAAGCAAAAAAGTCTTTTATAAAAAGTCGGATTAACATTAATATGTACACGAGTAATAAGAACGCCTTCGGAAAATTTTAAATTAGTTTACAAAACCACAATTTCAATTAAAAAAATTATCAATAAACCTAATTCATATTTGGTGATTTCGGCTCATAAACATTTCATTTCGGATGAAGTATGAATTTGAAGTTACGTAACTTGTTAAGATTTTAATCCCTGATACAGATCACAGTGGTGGTCAAAAACATCGATTACGACAACAAATTAACAAGTTAATTTTTCTCTATCCGTGAATCTAGATCACCATTTGAAAATTGTCTAATAAAACAATTACATATACAATCAGTAATGTAAATAATTTGCTAGTATAAATAATAAATATTCAATCTACTTCGTCATTATAAAGATTTCCGAAGCCACTCTTATTATTGCTTAGCACGCGGTCATTTCAACCGAATTGTGAGTAAACTGCCTGACCTATAAACAGTTAATTGTCTACACCACATAGTATTTTAAAAACAGTACACTTCACTATATCAAACTTCATCGTATTATCTTCGATCTCTGTACAAGAGGTAAGTTTGTAAGGCTTGCGGAAGCTGAAGATTCATCACTTTTTCTTCGAGAAGTTGCTTGCCGAGGCGTTGTCTTATTATACGACGGCACAAGTCCATGAGAGGCAAAGGCTCGGCTAAAATAAAAAAGTATATATTAGAAATCTTAGATCATATATTTTTCTTTAACACACATTAAAATTTATTAAGACAGATTATGTTTATATACTTCTACGATAACAAATTTTATAAATTCAGTGGCGGCTAATTTGAAAGGTCTACCTACAAGATGCCACCCCCTACAAAAAATGATGTACAAACAATTAAGGGGACAGTCTCATGCGCAACTTTCAAAAAATCAATTTTAATTTTTTTTATAAATCGCTTCCATTTACATTCAAAAACTCCCTCCTAAAATTTTAAAAAATTCCCACTAGAATATAAGTTATAGTTATTTTATTAAAGTCATCTACGCACGTATGAAAACCGGTTTCTCTCCGCGCGGCGAGCGCGAGGCTCCAGCTGTTCTTGCTTTTGTATATATGTTGTATATACGTTGGGTATGTATTAGTGATTCATTTTAATATAGTATGTATATCAGTATAACGTTTGGCAGTTACTATACACATTTGGAATTTTAAATCCGGAACATAGGATTTTTTACAAATACTATGATTCTCTGCGTTGCAATTAACCAGTGTTTCTTTATAACGTCGCGATGTTTTATATCTAATTTATTTGTTCCACTGGATTTATAGTTCCACATCTCCTCAACAGTTTATAGTAGCGTATATGGTACGTCGACAGTGTTGCTCATCTACCGATTTTTCCTGAAAGTCCGGTTTTGTGCAGATAATAAATAATGTTTTATTAACATCAATTTTGTTTGTGTTCATTAGGTATTATTTGAGTTATAAAATTTATACTTAAATACATTTATTAAACCAAATATTGTTTATAATTTCAAATTAAAAAGAGTGTAATATAATTATTTTATTTTTAAAATTCCTTTTTATTTTTAATTTTAGAAATCAACTTTTTTTTCAAGCCGTTTTGGAAATAAAACAACTATTTTTTTAGTTATAAAATATTTTCATATCTACATTTATAAATAAGTACGTTTTCGTTGAATTGACATGCGATCTAGGTGTGTTCCGTTTTTACACTTACACTGGAAGCATCGCGGCGTGAATTAACAGTGAGACTCCAGTCAAACAAATGAATTAATTATAAAACATCGCGACGTTGTATTGAAATTTACAGCTTTACAAAGCCATTTACAACAACTGTTGGATGAAGACGGTCCTCAATATTCACCAGGAATGGCCGATTAAACGTGAGTATAAAGTTATCAGCCTTTTATTCACGAAAATTATGTAAAAAAAAACTTTAAATCCTTTTTTCTCAAAAGTAACATTTTCAAACTGGTCAGACACTTTTCTCCGAACCTTCTTAACCGATTTTAAAAAACCAAAAATTTTTCGAATGTATATAGTATATATAGAATTCGAAAGTACTAGATGATATTTAAGATATTTAAAAATCACCCTCCCTTTTATTATTTATGGGTAAATCCACCGAAAAATATAGTGATTTTTCGACTTTTTTGAAAAAATTCGTATAAACTCTTCAAAATAATACAATTTGCATATTTAAAAGGTTTATAATCAAGTTTTGAGTCTCACAAATACAACCCATTTTGAATTTTTTGAATATCTGTTATAGGTGACCCACAAAGTGTCTTACCTCCAAAAACGCACTTTTTACTACACGCCATCTACATGACACCAATAAATTTAAAATCGCTATTAAAAATTTTTATTATGTACTTTAAGACTTACTTAATCATCTTCAAAAGAAATTATGTTAATATTATAGTTTTTTTTTCTGCTTTAATTTTAAAATGCGTCTTTTTTTTTAATCGCATGAGACTGTCCCCTTAATAGTACATATTTGATTTACTTTTATATTGAAACTCATTTACTTTTCTGTTGAAAATTTATTAAATTGCAATATATTTACCTAACCTACAAAAATTGTTTTTTTTTGTGTGCAAACAATTAATTGTATTTCATATTCAGACTTTTCTATTGGAACTTTATTAAATTAAAATATCATCATCATATCATATTTGCTCAATTTGACAATAATTACATTTTTTTTTAAGCGCCGCACTATATTCGGGGTTGATTTCTTAACGCCAGATAAATGCATGCGGTTACCATGAAAATGACACGCAGTAACTTAACTGTTTTGGAAGCTGATCCCTCTTTATTATGTCAGGAACTAAAGATATTATCTGGGCATTCAGAAAGCAGCCCCGAGATAAGAATTCTGGAAACATTACAAAAATTTTAGTTTTGTTAGCAGCATTCCACTTTTTCACACGACTTATTATATTTACAAGTTTAAGTATAATTTTATTGCGTCGTTATATGCGTATACTTAATATTTATCTTGTATTTTTAGAGGACAAACCCTCTAAAAATTTAAAAATAAAAAACCAATAGCCTCTAGCTATTAGTAGATATACAGTGCACTAAAAAAGTCCATTTACAGTAACGAATTGTTTTTGTTATCCTACAGAGGGAACAATAATAACACAATTTTTTTTGTGAGTTATTTATTAATTATTTATTAATCTAAAACATCGGTATGCACACCTCGTTACACAACTTGATGCGACGCCATGTTCTTATGTTCATCCCTCTCAGTATGTCTGTAGTCACTGATGTAAATGCTTGACAGAACTACATTTCCCAAGTCCTCATTCGCAACATATCTTCGTTTTCGAACCTCTTCTTTAATGAAACCCCACAGGGCATTGTACAGCTTTGTCAAATCTAGACTTCTAGGAGGTAAAGGCATTGGTGCAGAATAGTTTGAAGAACCACGTCAAATTTGGTGGAGCGCCAGCAACAACAAAGTCATTCAAGATGTCGTCCTTTGCTTAATTCTTATGACGACGTCTGCCATCACGTCTCACTCGCAACTAATGGTTATCTGTCTGCATGACCAGACAGATGCACTTAACGATGCGCGCATACGCTGAAACGCAAACAAACATCATATAAAGGGACTTTTCGGTCACCCTGTATTTCAACTGTCGACTCGATTCTGCGAAGCATGGAGTTCACGAGACGAGCCAAATCTTCTGCTGTAAGAACTCTAATTTTTTTGCACAATAGCTTTGATCACTTTCATTATTTGGGTTTCGTAGTTTCAGCCTTGATCAGAGATTGAATTTAGATCGGGACTATTTCCAGGACAAAGCAGGATAATAACGCCATGGTTTTTCAATTATTCCATAGAAGTTTTTCTATATAACAGGGCGCTCCATTATGTTGGAAAATGCTTTGTTAAGTATCTGGCAGTCAGCAGCAGTTTGGCTTGCAGTATTTCTTCCTTATATTTTTTCCTTACTATAACCCTCTAATGCCAATCGTCCAACCCCGTTAGTGGTCCCCGTTAGTAGCCCATACATTAGGAAAAAAGGTCTTCCCCCTTTTGGCGCCGAACAAACTTTTTAACGATCAAGATTCTGGTGTCATCACTCCAAATGATCTTACTCCACTGCTCTTCTGTCCACTCTGTGTTTCAATGTCCATTCAATGCGTTTTGTCTGGTTTTTGTTCAGGAACGACATCTCTGTACAGGTTCTTGCTCGCAATCAATTTTCACAACTTTTCCCTGAGAGTGCAGTCTGTTATTTGTAAGCCAGTGTAATGTCTTTTGTGGATCTGCGACGATATTCTAAAGACAGGTGGCATATTCTTCGGTCATAGTATTGACTAACCTCCGATTTTCTTTTTGTTCTGTTTGTTCTTTTTACTGATTTTGTCATTCCAGAATAATAACGTTTACAAACTTTCATTAGACCCGATTTTGTGGCGCCAACATCCAATTTCTTGGCTATCTCTTGATAAGTGTAACCTTCTTCATAAAGAGTAGAAGAGTAATTACTTTGGCTCTCTTTCCTGGTTACCATAAAAGACGTTTTGGGTTTCTGGGAGCCATTTTCGTCGAATCGACAGTGATGTGTTCCTCTACGACAATTAAAAAATATGACCTTATTAACAACTACCTGAAGTCATTAATAAACTTGTAAGTTGTACGAAACTGTAATAAACTCTTCCAATCTTGACGACTAAATCACGCCAGTAGTACAGTATTGCCAGTGTTGCCTTCCACAAATCTCGAATTTCCGGCATTTCGCTTGAATCCACTACTATATAAAAAAACAACAATTTTTGTACAGTTTCCATAATTTTGGCCATCATTTTGACCATTTAGTGTGCGTATATTTTTTGGTAATATAGGCGACATATCCGCTTTTTTTCTGTCGACAGAACAATAGCGTTATAACAAGTAATGAATAACCGAATTTTCAGTTTGGAGCGATATAAACTGTATTTGAAAATCGAGAGAGTATCCAGGAATGTTTTGTAAATATTGAGTCCCCAAATCCTAAAACATATACCACGAAGACCACAGTTCAAGCCGCCGGTTTCGTTAAACGGTTTAGTAATGCTGGTAAGATTTCTTTTAAAAAATAATGCCACATGTTGACACATTATTATCAACCAACTGCCGAAAATTGAAACGGACTCTATGAAATTGTAATATGGTATTGGCAGTTTTGAAAACATAAACATCAGAAACAGCCTAACTTCTCTAACGGAAAATATGCAAGAATCGAGGGGACTGAAGAAATACGAAGAAGTACGAAATGAGGAGAGTAGCTATTATCTTGTATTTTGTTCTTTTCTTTCTCCCCAATTCTACTTTATAGTATACACTTCTGTGTACTAGTGGAAATGTCTAAAGAACCACTGCCACATCTCCTCCGACTTTGAGCAACGTATCCTTATTCATTTTGTAGGCCTCAAACCCAACAACGTTTATTTGTTACAAAATTTAAGATCCAAATTGTTTCAACGACGAACTTATTAAAATTATAGAAAGGAACTACCGTTAGATGATATTTTCTACAATACATTTCCAATGGTTGCAAAATTAGAATTGAGAATATTTTACATGCTACCAGATAATACCAGAATACGAAAATGTAATCAGTTTCTTACGTACTATAAATTTAATAGTTTCATATGGTTTAGATCCAACATTTTGTAAAACAAAGTTTTGATTCTTTTAATAATGATGCTAATGACAACTGCATAAAGTGAAAGATATTTCTCTGCTTTGAAATTGACCAGGACGTTTCTAAGAAATACAATGTCGGAATAAAGACTGACGACGCTTGCGATGTTTTCCATCGCCAAAACTTTAGTTTTCTGACTTCAACGAAAAGATGATGGAAATGTTTATCTCCGATAAAAACAAAAAGATTCAGTTCCATTTTAAGAAGTAGGCTTTTGGTAAGTACCTATCGATTTTTGTGTATAGCGCCCCCTTAACAAAATTATCACCAGCCGCCACTGGATATAATACTATTATCTAGTGCACAGTCTTTAATTAACTTTAAAATCATCTCCTTCCATACAGAAACAGAAAATTATATTTTTTAACATATCACTTTGCAAGATGCTTGTGAATTCAGTTAAGAGTTAATTTACTTTTATAATAAAATACACAGATCAACTAGCCCAATTCATATTATGTATTATTTAGTTATCAATATGCAAGTTTTATATTATGAAAAAACTATTTAAATTAAGGTACACAGCATAGATCTATATATCAAAAATAAAATGAATACTTACGATCCAGTCCACCGATATATCTCATGCTAATCTCACAATGACCCCAAACAGCACTGACGATAGGATATAACTTTCTTCCTTTTAAGCCACGGAATGCAACTCCCAAATACTGTCCGTCGACAACGAAACTTAAAGTACCTTCGTCCATATCCAGTACAACTAAGAATTTGTCCGGCACTATGAAAGTCTCGTCTGGCTTTAATAGAGCCGGATAGGTAACACCTGGGCAGTTCTTTGAATCGTGGTATAATTTATTACGACCTAAAAATTTTAATTACATTAAATTAAAACTATAACATATATTTAATATACTTTAAAGAAAATATAGATAAAAGATGGTCCAATAAGGGCAGATATAATATTTTAACAATTCAATCTTGCCCAAGTACTTTCGCTTAAAACAGCATCTTCAGGGGCATTTCGTCAAGTTTGAGCTATCCAGCAAGCGTAGAATGTGATAAACATGAATTTTAACATAAAATTGTACAAAACACGATACTAAAACAAGAAAAACAGTTTAAAATTAATTGAATGGTTCTACGCTCTACATTCTTTGTCAGTAACAGGAGTGACATGTGACATATGCCACATGTCACCTTAGCATTTCCGTTAAATTAAATACCATTCTCTCTCCTGTTACTGTCAAAGAATGTAGAGCGTAGAACCATTCAATTAATTTTAAACTGTTTTTTCTTGTTTTAGTATCGTGTTTTGTACAATTTTATGTTAAAATTCATGTTTATCACATTCTACGCTTGCTGGATAGCACAAACTTGACGAAATGCCCCTGAAGATGTTTTAAGCGAAAGCACTTGGGCAAGATTTAATTGTTAAAATTGTGCTCGATATTTGCCTTTCATTTTCAAAGTTTAAATACATTATATTCTACAATAACCCGGTACACACTATTATAACCACATTAATTTCACATTGTAACGTGTTAAAAAAACGCCATGTTGTAGTTTATTTTCCTTTTTATTTTGCTAAATTTATGAAACATTCAGTATAGCCACTCAGACCTCTTCCAATATTTCTCGTATTATTTTATGACCGCTTTGAAAAATTTCTGCAGTAATAAAAAATTCCGTTAGGTATTTCTTTGGAAGTATTCTGAATAATCCCTTTTAAAGATGCCGCAAAAAGCACCGCTATATTTCGACCACCAAGGGCCAAAAATTCGAACAGTACATCATGTAGGTAGCTTTTTGTCAATAAGAATATACCCAAATCCTCAAATCTCTTACTTCTATTAGTTGAGAGATCCCTTTTTTTAATTGGGTAAGTTACATTATAACTCTCTTCTTCTAACTATTAAAGCATCACTTATTTCTTCAGTATGATTTACGTTAAAGAGTTCCTCAGAACAAGTATCTTTCAAGTACTTTAAGAGGGTCACTTTACACTTGATTTTGTCTGGAATCCTCCCTTTTTTCTCTTATCCCAGATGCATTTCAAGAATCTGGTTTTCTGTAAAAGTTTGCAGAAATCAAAACGAAACTCGAAAGTTTTACAGAAATGTACACAAAATGAGTAAATATTTTAAGCCAAGAATAGGGAGCTGTAAGGATGGAGAAGGAAATATCCTAAGTGATAGGGCGTCAATGTTGAACCGATGGGTTGAAAAGAAGCAAATAACACTGTAGCAGATTGAAATTATTGGAGTCTATTCAACCCAAACGAAAGACCACCTACCACCGAAGGGGTTGTCCAAGCCGTTAAAAAGCTTAAAATAATAAATCACCAGGAACTGATCAAATTTGTAGTAGTAGTGTAGTGAGCTCTACAAGAATGGTGGCGACGTCCTGGTTCAAGCACTACATAAACTTGTCTGGCAAAATGAGATCATGCCCTGTGAATGGTCTCAAGGCGTGATATGCCGCTTACATAAAAAAAGCGATATGAGTTTGGTATACCAATACAATTTATCCGATTAACGAGACCGATAATGTCTAATTTAAAAGCCAGCGTTAGGATACAGGGAGAAAATTCTCGATGCTTTGAGATAAAGTATGCACTCAGGCAAGGGGATGCCCAGGCTTGCCTCCTATTTAACATTGCCTTGGAACAGGCAATCTGAGACACGAATTAGAGACGGCACAAATAGGAATATTTGAACGATTTAGGCGGCCAAAAGTAGATTTTTCAAAACAATAAGTACTTCTACGAAAATAACTAAATGAGGTACATGATACTTCCAAGAATAAAACCCATCCCCTACCGGCCCCTCTCACGCCTGTCACATTATACTACTGTCAGTTGATCTTGTCACATTGTACATTTTTATCTGTTCTCGACGCTCTTATAAACGTTTGCAAAGTGATATTTTATGTTATTAAGTTTGTGGTGAAAAATATCATGCAAACTCAAAGAAGAGGTTAGTAATTTATAAAATGTATTAATTTCTTTTATTTGTTGATTTATGAATTCATCTTTATTGCTCTGAAAATAGGTAGTTTATCTAAATTTAAAAAACATACTTGTGTAGCTGATTTTTAATACTATCGGAATAGATCCGGCAATAATGTTTTTTATTATGCATAATTCAATGTTTTATCTATTAGAAAATCAAAGATTTGGCCCCGGATAAGCCCGGATAATTAAAATTTTAGTACTTTGAAAATTATAAGGTAAATTTTCCGAAAATATTTTTTATTTATTTTTGGCATTAAACTAAATATTTGTTTTAGATTCACGGAATATATCTGGGATAAGGATTATAACTAGAAAATGCTTGTTCGACCGCTTGCAAAGTGAAAATTTACTTAATTTGGAAAAAGAAGTAAATTACTTAAAAAATCAGCTTTTGTGTAACGAAGACTACACTAATGACCAAATAGTAACACTGAAAACAAATTTTGCGCATTTCAAGTCAGAAATAAAGAACAGATGGACATTCTTGGCTCGAACGGACCGTTGCAATTCCCTTTACAGACAATCTGACAAATCGACCAAGCCGACCGGATAAAACTTTTTTTCAGATCTCAGTGAAAGAAGTAACAGAAGAAGAACTGAAGATTTTCAGTCCAACTTTGACGAAGACATTATAGTACATGCTGCCCAAGTTTGCCAATTCGTGCATCAAAGTATAAAAAGGCATACCTACAAGCGCATAAAGTCTTTCAGAGATAAAATTAGCCCTTTGACTATCCACGAAACAAACCAAATGTTTATAGACACAGACCTACACGCGCACAGTATGATATTATAAGAAGCACGAATAAAATCTTCTTTCCGTGTTACAGTCTTTTACAAAAAGAAATGTTATCCGCTTGCATGGTACCTAGCACTAGTGCGGAAGCTAAATTGCAGCCATTGATCGAACCTACCGCTAGGCGGTTATAAATCGGAGTACCTGGAAGCGGTATTACTAACATTAAAGGATCAAGAACGCAATACCTTGCAATTAATCTACAAATGGGGCTGTGATGGGTCCCAGCAATGGCAGTACAAACAAAAGTTTGATAGTGATGCGGAGAGTGATACGAATATCTTTCAAAGCTGCTTTGTTCCTTTAAAATTAGTATGTGGTCAAAAACATGAAAAACCTGTCTCCCAGGTTTTGGTTCGTTAAAGAGACCAATGATATTACGCAAGAAGAAATCGATCATGTCAATACTTCTATTAACTCCCTCGTTGCAACTGATTTTGACTTATGTGGCCAACAATTATTTATAGATACAAACATGAATTGATAATGACAATGGCGGACGGAAAGGTTAGCATGATGACTGATTACATTGACATAATAGGGCGTAGTAAGTGAGATGTTAAGCAATATTTCCTAGAATTGGAAACGGTGGCGAAACAGGGCGGTCTAGTCATCAACGAAGACAAAACCAAGTACATGTTGGTTACTAAGGATCCTAAAGCAAATGAAGAACGGGAAACAGCATTTGGCAGTCACGTCTTTGAACGTGTTGACATACCTTGGATCGCTGGTGATTACTACCAATAAAACAAGCGAAGAAATTAAAAGACGAATAAACCTTACAAATAGGGATATTATGGACTCCAAAAACAATTCCACTCAATAAATATTCAAAGAAAAACCTAAATTACTATATACAAAACACTGATGAGGCCGGTATTCGCATACGGGGCGTAAACATGGACTCTAACGCAGAAGGATGAAAGACTTCTGGGAATATTCGAGTGCAAGATACCGCAAAATATCTCGAGCTATAAACGATCAAGAGCAATGGCGCAAAAGATATAATTTCGAATTATACTAACTCTTTAATGAACCAGATGTAACGTTCATTAAAACACCAGATGGACTGGACATATAATACAAATGCCTGACAATATGATTGCTAAAAAGCTAACGACACCTATAGAAAGAAGGATCAGAAACCGACCGCAAATTAGGGGGTTAGATGGAGTTGAGACCGACTTAGGGATACTAGAGATCAGAAGATGGCAACACGTTGCCAGAAACCGAACAGAATAGCGACGAATCTTGGAGCAACCAAGATCCACAAGGGATTGCCGAGTCAAAGATGATGATCATTTAGATTAATGAGTTCCTCAGAATAAGTATCTCTAAAAAATAAATATCTTCATATTTCATATTTTTTTTGCAAATTTTACGGATATCCGTTAACAGAGATTATATAGAAAAATAAAATGTATTCAAAATTGTATTTACTGTGCAAATAAATGTTCTAAAGCAAAAGCCCAGTCATTTTTGAGTCGCCCTCGTATTATCAAGATGGGTTAATATTTATCATCGGTTTACTATGGATTACTTATTGTTACATTAAAAAGGAATTATATAAACTTTTTTGTGTACAAAAAAGAAGTTTGTATTCTTTTTTATTTAATATTATAGTATAATACAGCCAAGCACTGGGAATTATTCTTTAGTGATCTTATTTTCATTGTTACATTGTGTTGAATTGATTTTAAATTCTCTAAAGGAAGACTTACCTAAATCCCATCCCCACGAAGTATCCGTACTACCAACCAGACTTTGATAACCTACAGAATGGAGAGGCGCTTCTGCAGTAGCGACGCCAACGACCGCGTGAGTTCCTCGTTGCCTTGTCGACCAACAAACTTCCCAACAATGCATCCCCTTCGTAAAGCCCACTTTGCCTCTTATACAGTCAGTGCTTTGGGCTACGGGATGTCTGTGAAACGTGAGTCTATCATCTTCCTTAACGAATATGTTGAGAGAACGATCGTCTTGATTCCAACTATATTTCAACTGAGTTTCCCTCATCGCTGGCGGCATATCGAGTAACATGTCCAGTCGGGGTGGACGCGCAAAGTCCTATAAAAAAAAGGATTATATTTTATTACAATCGTCTTATTGTCTGTATAAACAATCTAATTACAAACAATCCTTAAAATAGCGGAAGTATATTTAAAGGTTTAAAGAATTTGCATTCGAATGTTATGTTTATATTAATTGATTTATATATAGGGTGACCAACTCCAATTGCCATTAGGAACCCATTCAGACATCGTCTGAGGTCAGCAGCAACCCCTAATGAGAGTCTTACGTTGCCATGTAGTTTATCTGAGAAATATTCAAACATCACAACATAATTTAAAATAAAATTATTATTAATATTATTATTATATTACAAATAAGAGCAGAGGAACGAGCTCCTATTATGCACAAAAAAAAAAGAAAAATAAAAAATATCCTTATAAAACTAATACCAATTATAAATTTAAGTAAAGTTAAACAGTTAAGTATATCATGCAAAAATTGAATTGTGAGACAATAAATAAATACATAATGCTGTCCGAAAAAAAAAAACAATCCTATAAATAAAGAAAGCGCTATCAAATTTATTTTTAAAGGTGTTTACTTTAATTGCATTTGGATTGTGATATGGTGTCTTGATCCAAATTGTTCCAGATATTAAAGATTCTATAATTTGTATCGATGGCCTCTTAATCTTTCGTCTCGATTCAAAGTGAATATGGTGTTCCCAAAATTATGTTTTAAAATACGGAAGGACATAATTATGTCACCTCGAAGACTCGAATGCTCGAATGTCGTAAGATGGGCCATGGATAGTCTATATTCATAGTTATTTCTTACACGGCCGTATGCCAGTCTTGTGGCTTTATAATAATATGAATAATTTAATCATTATTAATTATCACTCCGAGATCGTTGTGGGAAGTTACCGAGTTTAGGGGATGTCCATTAATAAAGTACGGCAGTAATGGGTTATTTTTGGCGCTATGTAAAACAACGCATTTTTCAATGCTAAGCGGAAGTAACCATTCTGAGGACCATTTAAATATTGCGTCAAGATCTTGCTGAAGAACATGTTGGTTAATAGTTGGATTCACATATAATTTCCTGTCATCAGCGTAAACGGAAACCTTACTGGATACGATGAACGGAAGATCACTAATGAAGACACAAAAAACTAGCGGTCCAAGTACTGATCCTTGTGGGACTTTACTCTTGGCTGGCTTATCTAGTGAGTAATCTTCCCCAACATGAACCCTGAAGTGTCCGTCGGATAGAAAATCTTCAATCCAAATGTTACGCGGATACCATAGTGACCCAATTTAGCTAGTAATCGATGTTTTGGAATGCGGTCGAAAGCTTTGGAGAAGTCTAAGTAGACTACATCGACAGGATTGCGATTGTTATTGAAAGATAATGACCAATCGTTTACACAATGAAGTAAGTTTGTGATCTTTGAACGACCTTGAAAGCCATGCTGTTGGTGAGGGATGGCATTTTCTTGAAGAAGAAACTCAGACATAGTTTCCGAAATAATCGATTCCGTGACCTTGCCGACAATAGGACCAGGTTGATTGGACGATAATCATTGCAATCAAGTTTATTTCCTTTCTTGAATATAGGAGTAACCAAAGCCAATTTCCAGGACGAGGGGAGAGAACCTTAATTAAAAGAAGCATTCATTATGAGAGATATAGGCTGATTACATATTCTGCACCATGTTTGAAGAAAAAGGAGGTGAGTCCGTCTAATCCAGATGATGAATTATTTCATAGTTTTCTTAAATGATGTTTAATTTCCTCCGGTGTGAAAGATATATTGTCAAGAGTTTTAGACAAACGTGGGCACATTATTTGAGGAATGGTATCGTTAGGTTCATCTGTAAAAACCTGAGAAAAGAATAACGATAAACATTCCGAAGATTCGTTATTCGAAGAACATAAAGATCCGTCAGCTTTTTGAAGTAACGGTATGGAGACTTTAGAAGATAAAGATGTACAAATGTACCGATAAACTTTTTGATTATTACCACTTGCATAGATTCTTCAAATTTAACTCGGTTAGAAAAATTACGGTGGGCGAAAAAATCATCAAGGACACCAGTAAGTTTATATCTTCGCCAAAGATTTCGCTTTTGTCGAATTAAATGGGTAGCTGAGAAGTTAATCCAAGGTTTTAGTCGATTTCTGTATAGCTGCCGTTCGGTTGCATGATCAGAAATTGTTGTAATAGAAGTATGAAGAAAACAGTCCCACATTGACGATGGATCAAAGTGATTAAGAAAAACAGATTGCCAGTATCAAAAACATGATATAATCATAAACAAATAAAAAATTAAGGCCATGGAAATGAACTACTGGAGACGATGTTGCCAGCTCACTAGACTTGATAGGGTGAGAAACGAAGATATTCGGACAGAAATGGAAATCGATGTAGATATAATAGACACAATCGAAGCCAAAAGACTTAACTGGTATGGACACCTTCAGAGAATGCCGGAAAATAGATGGCCAAAAAAAATAGAAGAATGGACTCCGCCAACTAGAAGAAAACGAGGTAGACCAAGACGATCCTGGAGAGACGATGTCGACGATGCAATGACCGCCAGAGATCTAACAACTGAAGATTGCTTCGACAGAAAACGCTGGAAATTAGGATGCGAGAAGCGGCGCCAGCTGTAGAAGACTCGCTTGTTATATATTATATTAGATTGCCAGTTTAACTGGGATAAAACTGAATTTACATTAAAGAAATCAGTAGCGGCATACGTTACGTACAAGACGGTGCTAAACTAAATTGAATGTGAGCAGTAATAAGCGAGTGGTCAGAAAGACCAACAGGAGAGGACACTTCAACTGTAGAAATTAATTGACCGTCATTTGTGCAAAATAAGTCTAAAATTGAAGGATTATTGTTGGCTCTAAACCTTGTATGTTCAGTTATCAGTTGTAATAAATTTGAGTTCATGACAAACATAAGGCATATTAAATTTTGTACCATCTAAAGGGTTTTTACTAAGGTATTTAGTAGCTTAACTCATGTGCACCGAGTAACAAAACATTGATGATGGGCTTTTTAGTCCGAAAACGTTTTATGATGTAACTCGAAAGGGATTACATCCTTTTATAAAGGATTTTAAATAAACTTTTTTTACCCTTTAAAAACTTTTACAAATTAGTTTCTCAGAATAGTAACTTAGTTAACTAGATTTATTCGAAAAAAGTTTGTTATGTGTAATCAAATAGTTACTCACTATTCTGTAACCGATTATAATCCGTTTTATAATAAAGTAAACTTCACAAGCTCGTTGAAACTGTTCAAAAACATCCATTAAAAAGTTCTGTCACTAATCCACAAAAACACCATCACAAAAATATTAAAAGATACCTAATCAGTAGTCATGTAGTTTATAAAAGCATATGTGTCCGACTTTTGCGAATACAATAGGATATTAAAACATGATTGATGAAAGTCATACACGTTTTGGATTTTAAATATTTAACAAACATTGTGTAGTTAGAATGACAAAAACTGACGTTGCCAAAGTACATAGTATAGTTTTTGCTTTCGGTTCTTTATCAGTACTTTTGTAGTTAAAAGTAGCCGTACACTGGTAATTTGTAAAGTAAATCAAAACAAAAAGCAGAATATGGTGATTTAATTATAAACAAAAAATACTTCGTTTCTATAATAAATAAATAAAGAAACTAACCCCAGAACGACAATTTTTGGGGTATTGGAACATTTTTATCATTTAAGGTCGTATGACACTATGCATTTTCTTGTAACTTTTCTTATATCGTTTCTGATATAACAAAAAAATGGATAGTGTCATACAAGCGTATAGTTTCTTATATCAGAAACGATACAAGAATTTGTGTCCGCTGCATTTTCTTCTACAAGAAATGCACCAATTTGTGCGCAAAACCACAAAAACGTATAACTTCTGTCTTCTGTCATATTGGCGGCTGGAGGAGATATACAATTAGACCAAGCAGACATAAGAGAAAAGTGCCCACCAACAATAACCAAGATTAGAACATTAGTAGCCAAATTGAAAAACAATAAATCACAGGGATTGGATCAAATAGCATCGGAACTACTGAAAGTAGGAGATGGTTTACTAAAAACAATACATAACCGCTCTAAAAATTAGTGATGAGTTTAAAGATTATTTTATATCTCCAAATAAGAGAGTAGAATTTCAAGAGCATGCCACTCAAACACATAATTTAAAAAACAACAAATAAATTATTACAACCAAATTATTTATTATTTCTGTCTTCCATTACAGACTGTTGAATATCTTCAAAAATTGTGGTTTCCAATTTAGTTTTGATATTGGGACATTTTATTTCTTTTATTTTTGCACATTTGTCCTCGGTCCCCAGTAGCTTGGGGTCCTCAGGTACTGCAGTTCTATTTTTATAGGTGTCAAAATTTCAACCAATCATGTGCCAAATAACATACAATTTCTAGTAAAAGAACTTGCATAGTGTCATACAGGGAAAAATGTACGTGCAAGAAACGATACAAGACAACATAAATAACTTTCTATATCAGAAACGATATAAAAATGATACAAGAAAATGCATAGTGTCATACGGCCTTTACAGTCACAAGAAAGGCATCAATGATCTTTCTTTTGAGCATTTGGATATTACAGTTTCTAATTAATTCAAAAGGTTGTTTTAATATTAAATCAACTTTTTCAAATTTCTCAATTTCACTGTCATGGTGGCAAAACTCATTAAAATGATTGTTAGTTTCAAATCGTGATGAAACATCAGTTCTTAATCTTCCATCCTCACCCTTAATCTGCCTCACGTGGGTCAAGTCCTTTGATGATTGGTCCCTTGCTTCAGCAATGCTGTATAGTCTTTTCATCTATTCGCTTGTTTTAACCCTCCATACAGCAGGCTGCACAGACGATCTCTACTTAGCAGTAGTTGCAGCGCACTTTGCTTCCCTCTTTGCTACTTTGTATAAATCCTCATCTTCCTGTCGTAACTCTTTCTAGCCTCTTTCTTTTCTCCAACCTTCTCTAACGACCTTTATAGTTTCGCCACCAAGATTCTTTGTCTCTAGGAACCCCTTTACCAGTTGTTTTTCTTAGCACTTCCTGTCCCACTCTTTTACCCACAACTTCTCCCAGAACTTTTGTGTCGGCTTTCTACCAGTTATTAACTGTATCCTTTTCCTCAAGCTTTTCCAGCACTCTACTCTTAGAGACTCTTAACAAGACCTTATCCTTTAACTTCCACCACTTTACTTTCTGATGTTCCACTTTCTTTCCTTTCCACCTCACTTTTATCTCCGTATCCACTATCGCTGGTCGGTGCTAACTAGCTACACACTCACAATTTATCGCTTTACAATTGGTAACCTCTTTTAGTTGACTGTTTCACAGCACAAAATCTATCTGACTTTGCCTTTCCCCGCTACTATACTTAACATACTGGTCTTCAGTCGTGACATAATATTGAGATCAAGAACTTATAAAGCCAGTATAAGACCAATAATGAAGTATGCATCAGAAGACCTAAACACAGGCATAACACACAGACAGAGAAGTCTTATAAGAAATACGATAAGAAACTAAAAGAGGAGTAAAGAAAATGTAACGTACATAATAGAAACAAAGAGATATTAAACACAAAAAAGTCACCAAAAAGCAACCTTCCATAGATGTAACAACATTCCACTAATCAAGCAGAATTTCTTATAGAGAAAAAGAAGTAGAAAGATAAGTTTACAAATGACAGCCAACCATGCTCTTTAAATCCATAGTATTAAAAATGTTTATCAACGAGGAAAAAATTGTGGAATTTGCTGGAAGATGAGTTAATAATAAAAATGAGATTCTAACTTTGAATGGTAAAATATTTTGTAAAAAAGTAATGAATTTGGGTGTCTAGGAGCGGTTTCTAAAAAGGCAATATGAAATAATGGAAGCAAGTAAGTGCAGTATGACACAAAAACCAATGAAAGCATCCTATATCTTATATCATATCTAAGCCAAGTGACAAAATAATCAAGTTAAAAATGGATGATATATTAGGGGAAATTGCAGTGGCACCGATTGGTGCCAAAATTGGGAAGCAGAGTTAACGTATTTTCAACCAGAGTCGCAAGATCCTTAAAAGAATGTGACAGGAAGGCCAAAGCAAATATAAAGGAAGGCGGTTAGACAAAATATATAATTGAAGGGGATGAATATTGCTCAAGGTATAATTTGTTAATATATATTTTTTTATATCTAGGATCTAGTCGGTTCTGTTGGAAGTTAATCATGTGTGATAGCTTTCATAGTATAACTTACCTGTGCCAATTCTCTTGGAATGACCGGTTTGTATGGTGCTGCTGTATCTCTGTTGACAATTTTAACTCCTGTTGACACCTTCTGACCCATGCTCATTCCACGAGCCCGTCTGCGGGCCGTTTTACACGGCACCAAGGCCGCTTTGTATACACGTCTCACTTCGCAGACCCGTCCGACACCTCCTCCACCTGCGCCCCCGCCTCCACCAGTGCTTATTACCCCTCCGCCTACGTTCCTCAGAGTACTACCTCCACGGTTTCCACTTTTGTATCTACAACAAAAAATACATGTCATTATAAATGAAATCAGTTAAAAACCGTTAGTAGAAAAATAATTATTGAAATTAACATATGGTAGCAGCTGTTCTCTATTTACACATTAAACAACCCCACAATACGAGGAGGGCAATGCTCTTTCAACCTAGTATTGACCCTTGGGGCTTTAAAGTCAATTTATGTACAGACACGTTTTACTGCATTAATAACACTGACAAAATATTATTCCAGTCGTTTTTTATGTAACTTAAGGGCGCTAATAAAACTAAGATATAGATCCATAGACATGACCATCTTCTAAGCCCATTCTATTTTTAGATCATCTAATTTTTATTAAAAACTATCATAATTGAAACCAAAAATATAGATAAAATAAAAAGTATATATAAAAATTAAAAATATATACATTCATCTTTGCAGTTATACCTTACTATCTATTTGTTTTCATCTGATGTTGGAAGAGAATACAACGAATCAGATAAAATAGATAATATTACAAGGGTTGTACGTTTGTTTCGGGATGTGGCAGCCTGTCCTTAATCAGATTATTGACATATAAAAATATAAAAATCAAGCAAAAGGTAAGAAGTTTTTATATAAAAATAAAGTTTGATCTTTGTCCAGTCAATTAAAACTGACCAAGTATAATGATATTAAAGATGTTCAATTATAGTATCACTTTACAGTAAACAATAAATAATAAACAATAAATCCGAAAACTAATTTTCGAAACCAATTCAGATTTTTAGCTTTAATCTTTGCCTTCTAAAAGCAAAACAGACGTTGATAAAGATGGTTATTAGAGACATGGGGAATCTAAAAATTGCATTCCACAACATATCTCCCCAACTAAGCAAAAATCCTTAGCGAATTGGTTTCTCGTACTCGTAAAGAACTGGTTTCTCGTATCGCGAACTCGCGAATATCAGATGTCGCTATTTGCGTCCATACCAAGCCATGGAGTTGCTTCCTAAGACAGGAGGGATTTATTTTCACGTTCAGAGCGTTTGTGAAAAGCCGCTCCGAAGATCCCTTTTGGGGTGAAATACGTATAAGCGGTTACACATACGCACTATACGTGAAATCAAATCTTTTCCTCTTAATAAACAATAAATTTAAGTTGTGAACATTTTTGAGCAATAATTTTGTTTTACTTTCGATTGAAAAAAAAAATGAAAAGGAGTGATTGCTCCTCTATTATCTAAAAACTACATTTGGTGATGAGGCCACAGTCAAGAACGTGTTTCGATGGTATCAAAAATTTAAATTTAATCGGAAGAGCCTTATTTTATATAATTTCGTGAAGGTCTACCGACCACATCAAGCTTATCAGCAGTAGTAAGTATTTCTGGTAGGCGATCACCATTGCGAAGGCTTCTTGATATTCTGTCACATGGAATAATTGACCTGCATTTCTATCTAAGATTAAATGAAGCACAAGCTACTGAAAAAGCTAAAGAAAGCTAAGAAAAGCTAAGAATAACAAATCTCCAGGTGATAATTGTATAGTTACTGATACAATCAAAATCGGAGGCACTTGCCTACTTAAGAAAATAAAAAACCTTTTTAACGTGTGTCTTTTGGAAAGTAATATACCCGACAAATGGCACAATGCTGAGGTAATTCTATTGTACAAAAAAGGAGATCCCCATGAATTAGAAAACTACAGACCTGTAAGTCTTCTTATATATATAAAGACTTTGACACGGTAGAATTTGACAAAATCCTGGAAGCACTACAAGCATGCCGCATTTACTACCAATATACAAGGTTAATTTACAATGCATACAAGAACGAAACTACGTCGGTGAAACTACATAAAAACATAAAATCATATCCTAATCGGTAAAGGAGTTTGCCGTTTACTGTTTCCCGCGGTACTAGAATATGCTTGTAAAAAACTTAACTGTGAAGAGAAAGGCCTGAACATTGACGGTAGAAGATTAACAAATTTCAAATTCGTAGACGTCATAGTTTTGTTTTCGGACAACCTCAAGGATATATGTACAATGCTACATGAACTTGAGTGCCAGTGCGGGTCTTAAAATAAATATCTACAAAACAAAATTCATGACAAACCTAGTACCTAGCGGAAATATCGGAGACAACGAAGTAGAGCTAGTGGAAAAATACGTATACGTTAGACACGAAATAAAGATAATAAGCGACCCCCAAACATGCGAACTACGAAGAAGAATAAACCTAACATGGGCAGCCTATGGAAAACTCAAAGACATCTTTAAAAGCGATATATCAATTTCTTTAAACTAGCTACTAAAGGTACCCACTGACCCAAATATTATGGATGACCGTTCAAGATAGAAGCAAGTAGAAAAATTTCTTTAAAACGTAAAACATTTGACCAATGTGTGTTGCCTGTGATGACCTATGGTGCCGAAACTTTGAAATTGACAGCTACAGCTTCGTGATCGAGTTAAAAATGAAGACTTAGGACGAAGAACAGAAGTAATCGATGTAATTTCCCGAATTGCCACACTGAAATGGAATGGAATCAGTGATGAAAAGTGACGAAGAGATTGCTTGATAGATGCCGAGGTTAGACAAAAGAAGTAGAGGAAGACCCCCTACTCGTTGGACTGACGATCTCAAGAAAATGTTCAGAAATTGGATGAACAGTGCTCAAGATAGACGTTGCGTGACAAAGAACAAATATGGGAAGGAAAAACAACTAACTGGACCTAACTAGTAATACATGTTTTTGTAAAAATTATTCTTTATTCATCAAAATTATCTCCTTTAGCGATACAACAATCATTAAAAGGCTTTCCTAATTTTTCGATGCCGCTCTTGTTAAACGATTTATCTTTGCCTACAAAATAGGCTTCAGTGTCGGTGATTACATCCTCATCTGAGCAATATCTCTTGACTCGGAAAATTTTTAGATCGGAAAAATGTTGGTAGTCACTGGAGGTCAGATCTGGACTAAACGGTGGATGGAGAAGCCAAGCACAGCCCAATTTGTCCATTTTTGCCTTGTTTTATTCCAACGTCTGTCACGTGCATTGTCTTGGTGAAACAACAATTGTTCTAACAAATAAGTCGCTGTCTCTGAGATTTCGATTTTCAAACGCTTCAATAAACCAATGTAATAGTCGCTGTGGATTGTTTCTTTATGGTTCAAATAGTCAATAAAAAGAATTTCTTGCCCAAAATACAGAGGCCATAATCGTTCCGGCGCGGTGGTTTGTTGCGTCTTTGATCGTTTTGGACGACTTTCTCTGGGTGATGTCCGCTCAAATGACTGACAATTTGATTCTGGAGTAAAGTGATGCATCCATTGTAACATACCGACGCAAAAACTGCGACTTATTCCGATTAAACATGTCCAAAGAGCGATGGGACTCATCAATCCATTGTTGTTTTTGCTCTGGTGTGAGAAAACCGAGCACCCATTTGATAAACAGCTTTCTAATGCCCAAATGTTCGTGTATGGTAGTGTACACGCTTCCCTTTGATAACTTTATAGTGTCAGCTATGTCACATTTAGCCTTCCAGATTGGTGTCGGTACGACCTCATTTGAATTCAGCAAACCATCGGCATCGTGTAATGGTTGTAATCTTGTAATCGATGGGGTAGACTTTTGGCAATGCTCAGCTTGGACGGTAATTTACCCGGTCAAATAACAGGGATAACTCAACACCCAAAATTGTTTTGAATCCATTGTTAATAAAAATCACAAAAGAGCATTGTAACTCGCTAAATAATAATCCAAATGATATGCAAGTTTGAAGTATACTTTTGAAGGTTGGTTCTACCGAAATGTCATGTGGATAATTTCTTAGAGTTAGGCCCAGGATTTCTCTCATAGTTAGGCCCGGGACTTGAATTTATCCATAGGCTAGAAGCTAAATATCTGAATAACTGTTAGATTTAGGTATACGAAATACTTAACGAAACTTATAGAACAGTTACAGTTCTTTCTTATGGCATTATATATTACAATGTGATCTCTTGGAAGTTGCGAAGTTTGAGAAGTACGCGTTTTTGAATTGGTCACATTTTGTAAAATAACAGGTGTAACGAATAACTGAGGATATCGTCAAACATATTAAGATAGGATGTCTGCGGTGGATAGGGCATTCAATGCGGATGGAATAAAATGACCCAGTTAGAAAAACGCTCCTCCGCGAATTGGTCAGTGAAGAAGAAGAAGACCCAGAACAAGGTTCCTTAATAACATCGATAAATACATGAGAAATATGGGAACGCATGCTTGGCGATAGATAGGGACGACTGGATAAAAATTCTTGAGGAGGCTAGGACCCACGCAGGATTTTAAAGCCAGAATGATGACGAATAAGAGCATTCTTCGAAGAAGTTCTATCGAAATGCGTAATAGTATGCATACAGTTATACTCGAAATAAGGTTAAATAAGTTTTCAGGAAGGAAAATTAAATGTATGACTTCCAAAGCCTCACCCTGTATAATACATATCTAATATAAAAAAGAACAATCACACGTTTGTACTATAAAAATAGCTTCATCTAATTAAACCTATCCAGCACCCCTCTTTGTATTATCCCCTTTCACATACGTGAACTGTACGATCGCCAATTCTTGTTGCAACTTTTTAGAAGGTATGTAATATCAAAATTATGAATCTAATAGAAGCACTCACTTACACCTGTTGTAACACACTCAAACTATTTGTAGAAATACAACAAAAAAAAAACAAACGGAAAGGAAACATCTAATTTATTTACGAACCGATCGACAATATTTATCTAGAACAATAATATGTCCAGGGATGAACACTGTACATTGCACACCCTGGAGACAATACCACTTACCAAATAAATACATTTGTTCTGTGGCAGAAAAACAACCAACATGAAAAAAAAGAAACAAACAATAACTGGAAAACATACATATTTAACAATAATCGATTCGCTATTGCTGATTAAAATTTAATTTATTTATGAACCAGTAGACATTGTTTATTTAGAGCATTAATAGGTACATTACTTTCAGTT